CGGCAGCCCCCTGCAGGGCACACAGCACGTCCAAGGCAGGCAGCTAGCTGGCAGCCCCACACCTGCCCCACAAGCCGGCACCTGAGGCTCTGGTGTCGTGCAGTCACCCAGGTAGCCTGCAGCTGCTCCACGGAGCCCTGCGCGTCCACAGCCCCAAGCCACACGCGGTGCGGGGAGGGGGCAGAGAGGCACGGCCGACTCACCACGCCCGAGCCAGCCCCAACCTCTGCCGGGCCTGGATTCCCGACTCGCTCGGGGTTGACACGTGGAGCTGAGGGAGGCTGACAGGCCTCATGCCACGTGGAAACGGACAACAGGTGAGGGACGTGACGTCGCTGAACGGCTTGACCTGAAGGAACGCCCACACCGATGATGGCGCAGACCCGGGCCCGTGGGCCCAGGGCGGGCATCAAGCTCCAGCGTGGCCAGGAAGGGGACTTGGGGGCTCCCCGGAGACGTAGGTCCTACCCTGGTGCCGCAGGCCCGGGAGATCCTCCCGCCTCGGAGCCGCCCTCTCTCTCTCGGAGCCCAGACCCGGCTGGCAGGGCCCGGCCCCCGGCGAGCAGCGTTCCACGAGGCAGCCGCACAGGGCTCCCTTTGTCCTCTCCTGTTCTCCAGGTGGAAACTGCCGGCTGCAAAGTCTCCCGCCTGGCCTGTGCCAGCCCACACCGCCCTCACCTGTGCCCCTGCTGGCACGGGATTATCGTGGCTTTCAGTTTCCGCAGGCGCTGAGAGCAGAGGGGAGGAGGGGCCTGCACCGCCGGAATCTGGGGTTAAGGTTAAAGTGGCGCGAGAGAGGCGAGGCTGTGGCGCCGGCCGGGCCTGGCTTCGCGCCCTGCACGGGAGCTCCCTCTGCAGCCGCCACGGCTCGTCCCGGCCACTGTGCACCTGCAGCCGTGAAAGGTCCCCCACCGCCTCGGCTTCGTGCACCTCCTCGCCTCACAGGGGTGAGGGACCCAAGCACAGCGGCCGGGGACCCCTGCTCTCCCACGTGATGCTGCCGTGGCATCCCTCCGTGCGCCCTGGTGCAGCACCACAGCCCACCCTGCCCACCCCTTGCCAGGCCCAGCAGGGTGGCCGGGGGACACGTGGGGACAGCAGGCAAACATCTCCACGCAAATAGTGCTTTCCCGGTGGGTGGCAGCTGCCCCCTCGGGAGGCCAGAGTGGGCGGGAAGAAAGGCCTGGGGCTCAGAGAACACCAGGGGAGAGCCAAGTACAAGGACCCACGGGAAGAGGGACAAGGACCCAGGGGCCCTGGCAGGATGAGGGGCGGGGACCACTGGAGTGATAATTCTCCTGAAGACACTTCCAGAACAGGGTTTGCCAGGAGAGCTCTCCTGGCTGGAACACCAAGCCCCTGCCAGGGCACATGCATGTACACGCATGTACATGCCACCCACACACACACACATGTGCACACAATCCAGACGCCTGCAGCCCACTGCACACGCGGACGAGGAGCGGTCACAAAGTCCTAGGCCCGAGGTAGTGCCTCCAGTGGGTGGACCCCGCCCCCCACGCCCCTCCCCCACCTGAAGGGCAGGCGAGACCTGAGACACGCTGGTCAGCAGGGACAGCCCGTCTCCCGCGGGGCCTGGTTTGTGCCTCTTACGTCTGATCACAGCGCTCAGGTTCCCCAGGCCCTTCCGCCCAGCAGCGGGAGCCGGCATCAGCAGACCTGGCCTGAGGACCGATCCCAGCACCTGCCGGCCGCAGCCGCGAGCCTCGGAGGAGGCAGAGCTGCCTGCACTCCCACTGGACGGGGCTCAAGTGCCACGGCGTGCGCTGCAGCAGCGTCCTTGAACCTCAGCTCACGCCCGAGCCTAAGCAGGTGCTCTAAGCCCGCCTCCTGCTGCTGCCACTGAGCCACGGTCTCCTAACTTATCAAGAACCGGGCCAGTGGGCCCGGGGCGCTGGAGGTGGGGAAGTCAGAGCGTGGTGCTAGCTGTGGTGAGGGCGTCGTGCCGCACCAGCACTCGGGACACAGCAGGCGGCCAGCTTGGTCTCTCTTCCTCTGCTCACACAGGCACCACGGGTGATGACCGGCAGCCGCCCCGTTGCTTCTCCAGGATGAGGGACGCCTGCCACCTCAGGGGATGCAAACCCCCTTTTGGGCTCCCCCTCCATTTCCCAGCAGACGCCTGGGAGGCTGAGGCCAGGGCCTCTCACCCAGGGCCACACAGGAGCCTTCCGACCTGGGGATGCTCTGGGTCTCCAGGAACCACCCATGGACAGCATGGTCCTTGCCCCCAGCAGCCTCTGTGGAGAGGGTGGCTCCAAGTACCCAACCCAAGAATGACACCAGGAGAGGCCTGGGGGCTGCCAGTGCCCACACGGAGTCTGGCAGGGCACCTGTAGAAGGCACTAGAGCAGACCAGCCACACAGCAGGTGGGTGCCGGGCTAGGCTGGACTCACACGTGCCATTGCCCGCAGTCCCGGGGGCCGGGCCCCTCAGAACGTGCAGCCAGGAGCAGCCCCGTCCAGGTTCCCAGCCCCAGCTGCTTCCACGCAGGGACACCAGGAATCCCCAGCCACGTGGAGTACCAGGCCCAGGGTTTGCATCTGCACTCCACCACCTGACCTTGGGCAGGCACCGGTCCCTCTATGCCTCGGGCTCCACATCCACAAAATGGGCTAACAGCCTGCGGCCACCTTCTATCTACGGCCACCGTGGGGATTAGGCCAGCAAAGGCCTGTGGCACCCTCCCAGCCAGCCCAGCAGGGAGCAAACACAACCGGGCATTGCCACAACACGTTCTCCGGGTGTCCCAGGACAGAGAGCAAGCGGTGCCTTACGCAGAATCACAGGGGGTCGGTGCCCCCACGCGAGCAGGGCCGCGGCCGTGGCTGCATCACGGGCTCACGTGGCAGGGCAGACCCTGCAGGCGCACGGCAGCCCGGACTGGCTCCTCTGCAGAAACTGACCCCGTTGTGCAGCGAACACCACTGCTGCGCTCCCGAGGGAACACGGTTCACGGGTGCCCACTGCTAAAGGCACCGTGGGGGTCCCTGGCCGGGGCCCCTGGGTGGGCAGGCTTGCCTCGCGTGTGCCTCCTCACACGCTGTCCCTGCCTCACACACGACCCGGGGCCTTTGCACGGGCTGTGCACAGCTCAGGCTGCAGCGCACCCACACGCCCCGGCCTCGCCTGGCATCTCCTGTGACTCTGAGAGCTCTCGGTCAGACAGACCCTCCAGGGCCCCGCGGTGCTCAGATCCCTGCCCACTTGAGTCAGCCGTCCCGTGTCCACTTGCCTTGGTCTTCTGACCACGCTGACCCCAAGTGCCAAGAGGGAACTAACCGTGGGCATTCTCGTCCGAGCTCTGCTCCCGTCTGTGCGTGCCGGCAAGGGCACTGCCTGCCTGCCTGCAGGTGCATCCTAAAGGAAGAGAGGAGGCAGCAGCCACCAACCCCAGAGGGGCTCAGGACCCACGTGGCCGCCGTGAGAGGCAGGTGGACTCCGTCTTCCATCTCAGCACTGACTCCCGTCCAGCTTCAGAACCGAAGCCAAGGCACCCACGGGTGCAGAAGCTCCACGGAAGAGGGCGCCGCCCAGCAGGAGCCCGTGACTTCTTCCCGAGCTTGCCACAGATGGGAATGGCGCGAGGGGGCTGGTGCAGGAGGACAGAGCCCACGGAACAGGCGTGGTCCGGCGTCCACTGGAGCCAGCGAGGCAGACACTAAAGGTGTGGCGCGGCTGGACTCGGCACCCTGAGCCTCTGCAGCTGCCAGCCAGGGGAACGCCAGCTCCTGCCAGAGCTTTCTCAGTCTCCCAAGACTGCCCTGTGGGGAGCGGTCTCCTGCTCAGGAGACCCCGGCCCCACTCCCAGGAGCAGGTGGTCACCCTCCCAACATGGCCAAAGACCCAGCAACGAGTCGGCGCTGGCTCCAGCTCACGCAGGGCTAACAGGGTGCCAGGCAGGGCCAGGATCCGTGAACCAGAACATACGGCACGCCAAGGAAGAGACCCCTGACCTGCGCTGGCGTCTCACGCGCCTGGAGCTGCCTGGCCCGTGCCCTCCTGCAGGAGCCTGACGACCTGCGACGCCAGCTCTGCCCTCAACCACGGCAACGGTGAAGGGCAAGGAAGGGAGACGGTGGCCGCCGGTGCCCAGCAGAGGCCGTGGGTGGCGTGGGGACGACTGCACGGGCAGGGAGTGGCGAACACAGCAGAGCAGAGCCCTTCCCGGAGCCCACGACCAGCCCATGCACTGGGCGCAACCCAGGCCTTCGTTCGCGTGTCCCTCTGCCCACTGCCGCACGCTCTGCCATCCTGACGCCCGGCGGGAAGCGTCTGACCTTGGGAGCGCACCTGCCTGCCCTGAGACTCAGTTTCTTCTTTGGCAGAGGGAGGTAACCTCAGTGCCGGGGGCGGGATTACACAAGGAAACACACGGGCTCGGGACCGCGCCTGGCGGCACTGAGTGCTGAACAAATATTAGTCACTTACCCAATTGTTTTATTTGAGTGCTAGGCAGGTGACGGGCACCTGCAATGACTCCCCCCGCAGGTGCCAAGCCCACACAAGACCCCAGGACCAGCCACGGCTGCAGCCCCACGGAGCAGGGGAAGGTGGGGCCGGCACCGAGAAGGCGAAGCCCCCAGAGCCACACAGCTGATGAGGCAACTCCACCCCCAGAGGCAAGAACCCCCTCAGGTCACCCTTCTCCCCACAGGCACTGCCACGTGAGACACGTGTGACCCAGGCTGAGACTGCCACCAAGCTCAGCCACGAGCCCGCGCAGACTCGTATGTTCGTAAACACACACGCGCAGAGTCCCGCCCCGGGCCGGGGACCCCGGCTGGGTACGTCCCATATGGAACAGGGCCGCTGGGCAACAGGCAGGCCGGGAGCAGGGGAGGGGAGGAGACGGAGACCCAAGCCTTTACCACACAGCCGGCCACTCCCTCTGTGCTCCCAAGAGGCCTCCGCACGGGGGCTGGCAGGGGAGGGGTCCTCACCAGGGCCACACACAGCCAGGCAGTCGGGAACTTACTGTGCTGGGGCTCCCTGCAGAAGCAGCTCCTCCCACCGCACGGCTGGGTCAGGCCCACTACATGCTAATGTGTGGGCTCCGGGCCTCAGGGGGGCGGCGCTGGGACTGCTCACAGGTGGGAGGGCCCAGAGCCAGGAGCAGCAGCCGGCAGGTGCGCCCGGCCCCACGCAGAGCACCCATGCTTGCACGCAGGCACAGACACTGCCACCCAAGGCCAAGAGCCAGCCTGCCCAGGGCCACAGCCAGCCCGGGAAGCACCGTGTGACCAGGAAGCTGAGCTGGCTGTGCACTCCCGGGGACCAGCCCAGACTGGGCCTCCAGGGAGCTCCGCCCTCCACAAGGTGCAGAGAACAGCGGGCATGGCGGTGGCTTCCGGAAATCTCCCCCTCCCAGAAAACCTCACCCCGAGTCCCCAGGAGGCCAGGTCTCCACCTGGGGATCCCAACACCTGCTGAGCGGCCGCCCGCCTCCCGCCCCCTCCTTCCTCTCCCCTGCCCCTCCTCCGCTTCCGTCCTTAGCGCTGTGTGGCTCCACCTCCCACCTCAATTAAGATGACTCATCAGCAAACTCAGCAGCATTCAACAACAGTTCTCAGTAAAAACAAAACCAAGAAGCACACGCACAAGGCCGGGGTCAGAGAGACAGCACAGCTGGGCCAGGAGGGGAGGCGGAGGCCACAGGACCCCTCGGTTACGGGACCCGAGCCCGACCGGTTCTGAATCTCCAGGGAGACGGTGGCCACAGGCAGAGCCTGGTGGCAGCAGGGACTATAAAGGTCACCCAACCTGCCTGGGGCTGGGTCTTGGCTGCCGCTGAACGCCACGCAGAGCCGAGAGGAAGGGTGGCGGCCAAGGGCGGGAACCCGAGCGAGGCGCCTGCACCTGTCACTCCAACGGCTTCCCAGGCTGGCGGGGAGGCACACGCTCACTGTATAATCACACCCTACGTGCACCTGTTCTCTCTCCGTGACAGTTACCTGGACAGGGGGCGGGAAGGAGGGAGGAAGTGGGCACAGAGGCCTGGGGCGGGGGCTGCACACAGGCTCAGGGGGAGGGCAGGGGTGGGCACACGTGCGTGGAGGCACCCACCCCACAGCAGCCACATGGGGTCCCTTTCTAGGCTGGATGCGATGAGGGGCCACGGCCGATGACCAGCAGGGGGCGCCCTGCCTGCTCCCCCAGGAGGCAGGTGCCAGAGAAAACCTCGGGGGCCGGGGGCCAAAGCAGGACCTGCTGCCCCTTTGCCAGCCGTGCTCCTCAGACATGCAGGTACCCACAGGACTTCCAGCTGTTCCTCTGTGGAATGGGTTGGTAACAGCAGCCTCACAGGATGGCTAAAGGCCTGAGAAGATGCTGTCCAGCCCCAGGAGGAGTCAGGGGCCCAAGGCCAGCATCGCTCACCGTCGTCTGCCACCTGTGACCAGAGGCGCTGCCTGGCCCCGTGGCTGCAGCGGCAGTGGGGGTGTGGGGTCCTGAGGACGTCATGGTGACAGGAGCCCTGGGACCCAGCTCCCTCACAGACGCCATCATGGGCACCTGCGTGGGCGGCCGAGGGCCGCAGGCATCACAGTAGCCGTGCACATTTCACAGCAGCTGGGGAGGGGCCCGGGGTTCTCACCACGGAGAAGCAGGGCTGTGGCGGGGGCGGGCGTGCCGAGGCCCCGGCCGATCACGCATGGCGCACTCTGCATCCACACCGCCCAACCCGGACCTGGGCGCAGTCAGCACGCGACTGTCCAGGAATAACTGATGGGGGCGGGGGATCATGACCCTGCACCTGCCGCTGACACCAGGGCTGACCCCAGCCTGAGCTGCCCCTGCTGCTCCACCCAGCACACACACACTCTGGAGGCCACCGCACGGCGGTTCCACCCAGGCCGGAGCAGGCAGATGCCAGGTCCCACCTGTGCGGCGGAGCTGAGACCACAGGTGCTGGCAGGCCCCAGCACGGAGCACAGGCCCGACGGGCCCTGCCTGGCCTGCCCCACTGCGGGGTGGGGACACACAGCTGCGGCCAGCACAGCCCCCACCCCAGCCTCAGGAGGGAGCAGCGGGACACCTGCTTCAGGACGAGAAGTGTGAACGGAGCCGTCGCAGGCAGCGCCGCCTTCACCAGGACCACCAGGACAGTCGCGGGAGGGGTACAGCAGAGGGGGCTCGGGCAGCCTGCACGCCTGACCTCTGGGCAGGGCAAAGTGCAGGGAGCTTCTGCCCCGGCCAGGTGCCCAGTACACAACGCCCGGCTGGACTTCCAGCTTCCTGCCCTGTGTGCCGGTGCGGCCATGGGAGCAGCCCCAGCGGTGCCCAGCAGGAACAAGGACGGTCTTCCGTGTCATAACACACTGACCCGAGAGCCGCAGCGACCGTCCTCGGCCTGGGACTGACTGCCCAACTCCTGGGCAGAGAGGCAGCAGGAAGGCAGGAGCAGTGACACAGAAGCCCTCCCCACCTCCCAGCTCGCGAACCACCCAGGCCAGCCTCCCTCAGGGCCGGCCACCGCAGCCGGGACTCCCCATCGCAGGAGCCTGTCCCCCAAACACAGGGACGCACGGGTTGCTGAATGCAGGGACAGTTCTAGCCCAGGCAGCACGGGCAGGCCACTGGAACAGAGGGGAGGGAGATCCCAGGGTGAGTGGAACGAAACAGAAAGGTCTGCCCGCAGGTGCCGATGGAGCTGGGACAGGAGGAAGTGTGGGGTGGGGGGCAGCGGAGCCCACCTCCCGCTGTGGAGGGGCACAGACAGGCTGGGAGGGGCAGGTGTGTGTGACGCGCAGGGTCCTTGGGACAGAGCCTCCCCAGCCAGCAGTCCGAGCACAGGCAAGGAGGCGGCAGACCCAGGCCTGGTGCAGCAGCCCGGAGGAAGAAGACAGGACTAGGATCAGACCCAGGCAGGCGAAGGCTGGCGGGTAAACTAAGACTGCTCCCCGAAGGCAAAAGCAGAGCCGGTGCCGTGGGAAGAGACGCGGCGGCGGCGGAAGCAGCAGCCGCTGAAGCAGGAGCCCGGGCTGTGGCCGGGCAGCAGGGCGCTGTGGGTGAGCGCAGAGCGGCTGCAGCAGGAGCTCGCAGACAGACGTGGACGCCCGGCCCGGAGTCTCCGACCGGGACTGAAAGCCCCAGCTGTGCTGTTGGGCCAGTTCTTCTCTGACCCAGCTGTGCACCGAGGTGTCTGCACTGAGAACCGAGCGGCGGTATTCCTGCAGCCGCCTTCCCAGCACTGGCAACACCGGCCTCCCGGTAGCATCCCCTGCTGGTGCCGGCCGTGCCAGGAACAATGGCCACAGCACCACTGCCAGCCCCACGGATGCCGGGGCGCTCACTGACTCCAACAATCCAAGCCCACGCAACGGGCTGCGTTCTCCCACGTTCTGCACTCCAGGCAGTCGAAATCTGCTCTCCCCCCACACCCAGGCCTGGTGCCACCTCCGTATGAGTAACTCAGGAGGGGGGTCGCCCTGCCAACTGCCATTTTCCCAGGAAGAGAAGGAGGAGGCGGGCACTTAGTATGCCAATTACGACGTCTCTGGGATGCCACACCCCACCCTGGAGGGCCAGGGTTCCAATCCTGGCTCCACTCCCGACTCCAGCCTCTTGGTGATGTGCACCCTGGGAGGCGGCGGTGACGGCTCACGGACTCGGGGCCCTGCCACCCACGAGGAGACCAGATTAAGCTGCTCGCCCCTGGCTTCAATACGGCTCAGCCCCGGCTGTTTGCAGGCATCTGCGGAGTGAACCAGCAGGTGGAAGATCTTTCTCTCTGTTCCTCTGCCTTTCAAGTAACTTTAATCAATCAAAAATTTTGAAGAACGCTCCTGGCTAGCCTGGAGCAGTCCCGATCCAGCGTTCTCGGTGTTGCTGTCTGTAAGCCGCAGGGAAGCGGCGGTCCCGGTGCCCGTGCCCGTGCTGTCTGCCCTGGCAGTTACCAGCACGCGGTAAGACAGGCTGCGGCGCTACTGCGAGGACGTCCCAGCCTGACTCAGCCTCCGGGCTCCAGCCAGGGGCACAGGACAGCGGCTCGGGCCACACCGCCCACGTGATCGCAGGGGCTTGGGCAGCAGCCACCTGTGCTCTGTGCACGAGCACCCCCAGGCACCGCCACGGGCACCAAGGTCACCGGTGCACCCCCAGGTGGCCCCTTCCCCGCCCCAGGCCAGCGTGGAGCTGACCCCAACGTGGCCTCGCTTCATGCACAACCATCTTGGTGCACAGCTGGCACAGAGGGGAACCGGCCGAACCCCTGACCACTGCACAGTCCACGCCTCCATCCCCACCAAACTAGGATCTTCCTTCATCTGTTGAACTCGTTATCTGGTGGAGAATTAAACGTCTGACTGTGATGTGAATTTTTAAAAAGTGATCTGAAGAACTAAGAGAGAGAGAGAACTGGAGGAGTGAGCGTGGGGAGGAGAGAGGGAGGAACGGGAATCACCACACTTGTAGCACTGCACACATGAGCGAATCTGTCAGACGCTGAAAAACTAAACAGAAAATGAAAAGCAGCCCCGGCTAAAGGACGAGCCGAGGCGAGCGCCGCCCGCCACAAACAGCGTCACCAGGGCTCACCCTGCTCTGCTGCGCTTGGGTTCCGTTCCTCGGCCAGCCGGGTCCTTCCCCACTGCTGCCCGGGACAATCCCCGGCTGCGTCCAGGTGCCGGCCCCACTCCCCCATCCCCCACCCCCGCAGCTGCAGCCGCAGAGGGATGGCGGGCCTGGGCCCGGCTGGGGTGGTTTCTGGCAAGGGCTCGGGCGTCGAGAAGGCACGAGACCCGTAGCCGCGTCCCTTCTGAGGTCGAGGCCAGCGTTCAGGGAGCAGACCTGTGACCCCCCACCACTTCTCCTCTGACCCAGAAACCCTGAGTTCAGTTCCTGTGGGAAGGGAACCACACGGGACCCCTCCCCTCGTCCCCCAACTTCCAGGATGAGCTGGGCCCAGCCCCCTCAAAAGCAACTCAGGAGCCACGTAGCTGCTGCAGCCGGCCTGAGGCACAGGAGATGCCGACCACGAAGAATCCACGCGTGCATTTTAAAGCCATTTTGCACCAAAATAAGCTCATCCTTCAATTTCGCCTTTCACGCACTTTCTGAAGCCTGCTGTAGGGGGCCAGGGTCGTGGAGGAGCAGGTTAGCCCACTGCTGAAGGATGCCTACACCCCACATCAGCCTGCTGGTTCAAGGCCCAGCCACTCGGCTCCTGACCCAGCTCCCTGCAGATGCACCTGGGAAGGCGGGGGACGATGGTTCAAGTCCGTGAGTCCCTGCCACCCACGTACCTGGCTCACCCTGGCCACTCCAGACACGGGGGAGTGGACCAGTGGATGGGAGATCTGCCTGTCTCTCTCCTCCTCTCTGCTGCTCTACCTC